GCATGCAAGGCAAGCGCTCTACCACTGAGCCACCTTCCCAGCCCCTCATTAGATCATTTTGAAAGATAGTAGTCTATATATACCACATAGCTTTAGCAATTGAAGTATAATAAGTGTCTTCAAGTTAAGGGTTTTCGTCTTATGAAATTAATGTATTCTGTTTGGGGCCCTTTTTTCTTTTCTTTTTTTTGGTTGGTTGTGGGGGCTGAAGTCTTCAGCTCGAGGCTAGCGCCCTACCACCTGAGCCACAGTGCCAATTCAGGCTTTTTTCTGCTTATGTGGTGCTGAGGAATGGAACCCAGGGCCTCATGCATGCCAGACAAGCACTCTGCCACTGAGCCACTTTCCCAGCTGTTTGGGGCCCTTTTCATTGAGACTTACCTCAGTACTATTTGAGGAAGACAGAACCTCAGGGTTTTGAAACCTCACTGAGACATCAAGGGGTATTGTGAAAACAGAAGAACGATAGTCTAGTCAAGGTGTCTGACCATACAAACCCAGAATCCCAGGGCCAAACTGACAGCGCTACCAGAAACACAGGAGGACTAAGGAATGTGCACACACTGGAGCAGAGTGAAAGCAGTCTCTGTCTTCTGAATTTGAGCTTCCAACTCCACTAATCCCATCTAACTTTTAAAAAAGAAAAGCTATGGGTACAAAGTTACCTGGGAGGTGCTCGGGAGACAGACTCTCGCATCCGCCGCATTGTCAAAGAAGGTAGTGCTGGGACCCCACTATCACCAATAGTGGAATTGGGAAACAGCCTAAGTGAGATGAAGGGGGTTGACAGGTTTAAGACATTCTACAGAGAACACAGGCTGCCGTGCCTTGTCCCACAACTATCTACCCAACCCAACTCTGCCCAGTCTCCCATTTTCCTCAGGTACTGTAAGCACCTGATATAAAAAGACTCCTGTGACCGATGGCACACTGGGTGATGATGGCCCGCCAATACAGCACACAGGCTCCAGCCAGCACTGCTAGGAAATACCTGCCAATGTCTTGGTATGCCAAAGTAACAGGGTTTGTTTCTGGTGCATGTGTATGCCCATGCTTGCCTGGCACTGGGGCTTGAACTGAGGACTCATGGTCTAGCTCTGCTTTTTCACTCAAGGCTGGCACTCTACCACTTGAGCCTCACCTCAAGTTCTGGCTGTAAGCTTGCCAGCTGGAGATAAGAATGTGAGGATTTTTCTGTCTGGGCTGGCTTCAAATGGTGATCCTCAGATCTCAATATCCCGAAGAGCTGGGATTAAAGGCATGAGCAACCAGCACCAGGCTAAAGGAATTTTTAAAAAAAACTATAGTATGTTATTTTACAAAACCCTTCACACGCTAGCCATTTTAAACCCAAACACAGTTTTCTCCAGAGTAAGGTGAATAGAACATCAGCAAGGCGCTGGTGGTTCACACCTATAATTCTGGCTACCCCAGAAACCGAGATCTGAGGATCGTGGTTTGAAACCAGCTCAGACAGGAAAAGCCCACAAATCTCTTATCTCCAATTAAACATACACTCACACACATAAAAGCTGAAATGGAGGGGCTGGGAAGGTGGCTCAGTGGTAGAGCGCTTGCCTTGCATGCATGAGGCCCTGGGTTTGATTCCTCAGCACCACATAAGAAAAAAGAAAAAAGCTGGAAGTGGCACTGTGGCTCAAGTGGTAGAGCGCTAGCCTTGAGCTGAAGAGCTGAGGGACAGCGCCCAGGCCCAGAGTTCAGGCCCCACGACTGGACCAAAAAAAAAAAAAAGCTGAAATGGAGCTGTGGCTCAAGTGTACAGCACTAGCCTTAAGTATCAAAGCTCAGAGACAGTATCCAGGCCTTCAATTCAAGCCCCAGGACCAGCACAAAAAAGAAAATAGAAAAAGAAAGAGAAAATGGGCTGGGAAGGTGGCTCAGTGGTAGAGCGCTTGCCTTGCATGCCTGAGGCCCTGGGTTTGATTCTTCACCACCACATAAGAAAAAGAAAAAAGCCAGAAGTGGCGCTGTGGCTCAAGTGGTAGAGCACTAACCTTGAGTGCAGAGCTGAGGGACAGTGCCCAGGCTCAGAATTCAGGCCCTACAACTGGACCCAAAAAGAAAAGAAAAAAAAGAAAGAAAGAGAAAATAACAAGTGTGCTTTGTACTTCTTTCCTAGAATCAAAATCCTAACCAGCCACTAATGCTACTGTCCAGAGGAAAAAGCCAATGTCTTCTCTGTCCCCAACACCATTTACCTCATTGAACCAGGTCAGCTCTTTCCTAACGGACGCAGGTCCTACCTACTCACTTCAGAGTCCTAACAGTGCACGGAAACCAGCCCTTTCACACAGTGTCATGCTGTGAGGCAGATCATTTAATAAGTCTAAAACCCAGACTTCCTGGTCAAAACGTACAAAAAGCACCTCAAAAATGTTGACACAAGCACCCCTGTATTCTTTGGGAGAACTGAGGGAGTGAATAGATGAATGAATGAGTTCCTCACAAGAGCTGTCTGATGTTACTCCAGTCCACACACATAGTAGGTACTTTGGTGCTACAGTGCTCGTGAAATTTGTAGCCACAAGTCTGACATCGAAACCCATTTAGCAAGAACTTCTGACAAATGTCACAGAATGCAAGCTTCAGAAACGTCTTCCGAGCCTGTAACAGCAAAAATAGGGGCAAAATTAGGCTGAATGAAAAATTGCCAAAGACAAAGCAATTTCTTAAAATTAAGTGTACTTTAGGGCTAATGAACTCCAAACTGCCTATGTAAACAACGGCATGCTTAATTAGAACCTGATAAACATCAATAATATACATGCTTATTACTGCTATCATGTGAGGCAAGGATGTAACATGCCAGAGAGAGAGAGAAAGAAAGGAAGAAAGGGAGAGAGAAAGAGAGAGAGAGAGAGAGAGAGATGCAACTTACAAAGTTGTGTGTTGTGAGGGGAACATGATCCAGAAAATCTACTTGAAGTTCTTCTCCAATCAAAGAGGCAGCATCGGTATTCCAATCTAAACGTGCTTTTTTACTGAAAAAGATTTTTCGGAACATGAAAGGGCAATGTTGGAATAAGGGTCAATATGGGCACCTAACAGTAGCTGCCATTAATTGCATGCTTATCTAAATATGACTTACATAATCCACACGACAAACCCATAAAGTAGGTGTTGATTTTTTCTGTTTTTCTGTTTTGTTTTGTTTTTTTTGGTCCAGTCGTGGGTCCTGAACTCTGGGCCTGGGCGCTGTCCCTCAGCTCTTCAGCTCAAGGCTAGCACTCACTTGAGCCATAGTGCCACTTCCGGCTTTTTTTTTCTTCTGGTTATGTGGTGCTGAAGAATCGAACCCAGGACCTCAGGCATGCTAAGGCAAGCGCTCTACCACTGAGCCACCTTCCCAACCCCTTGGTGTTGTTATTCTCAAGCTAAAAATGAGAAAACTGGAGCTCTATCAGGGTAATCCTCAGAGTGCAAGGACCTAGGATTGAATCCAGGGTCTACAACTAGGTAGCTAAAGAAGAGGCTGGCAAATTTGAAGCCCAAGTGAGTAATCATGGAGAGACCCTATCTCAAACACAAAACAGAACCCAGGCTTACTGGACTCCAAAGCTTATACTCTTAGAATAAAGTTTTCTTAGCCAAGTGCCAGTGGCTCATGCCTCTAATCCTAGGATCTCAATTGGAAGCCAGCCTAGGCAAGAAAGTCTGTGAGACTCTTATCTCAATAAACTACTCAGAAAAAGCCAGAAGTGACTCTGTAGCTCAAGTGGTAGAGCACTGGCCTTGAACACAAAGAGGCTCAGGAACAGCACCCAGGCCTGAGGTCAAGCCCCAAGATTGGCAAAATAATAATAATAATAATTCTGTAAAGTGGGTCAGATATATTACTACAGTGCTAAAAATGTATTGTTAAATAGCCTTTTTTCAATCTAGAAGATACATAAATGGAAAGGAACCACAAATGCACTTTTCCATTAATAAATAACAGGCTTAAATCTACAGAGCTGTTTGCAGCATCTATAAAAATAAATGTGACCCTCTGAAAAAACGTAACTGTCTTTAAATTTTACTCGAGACCACTGTTTCTATGCATAGGATAAAAAGACAGAAAATTGTGATCCTTTAATTAGTAAAAAATTAAGCCCAGTCCACATCCATAGCACTAAACATATCCCACCAGTAAATAATCCATCTCTTAATAGAACTCATTCCCAATACAAGGTCACAGCAACTCCTTATCATCTCAAACCCCATTTTATCCTAGAAGAGAACAGAGCACACTTTCTGATGGACCTGCAGGAGTTGTCTACTGCTAAGAGAGCCAGGCCCACTCTAAATATTCCCTGTCTCAGAATCTCTCTAGTCCTTCAGGAGTACCATGGATTGGCTTGGGAACCACCCTGCGGCTACATTGGGTTAAAGCCGGCACCTATTTCCAAAATTTGCATGTCACCAAGCTACCTCCTCAACCTAGAGGAATAAACACACTGAAGGCTGACCTGCTCCCTCTTCCCCATTCTCGTAAAGTTGAGAACTACTGCAATCATCAGAGATAAATGCTGAAGATCAGTAACAGGACGTGCTTCTTTCCCAAAGGAGGACAATAGACAGGTGGTAAGTTCAAGTTCTTAGTGGCAGATTTTCCTGAATTGTCTCCTGATAAACAAAGATCTAAAGATGCACAGAACTCTAAAGAAACCTAGGGTAACTGTTTTTAGTGGCACTAAGCTAGGCGATGCTTGTATTCTGAAGAAGGAGCTGTCGGACTGGTTTCTTACCCTTTGTGTCCGTGGAGAAGTCTGAACACAGCACAGCACTCTGGCTGGAGGCCCCGCACCTTGAGAGCTTTCCTAAGGCAATCATGCAGGCTCATTCCATTTCGCACATTGACCTACAGACAAAAGACCATCTTTAGAACCAACAAAGGCAAGTACAAGCTGGGCGCTGGTGGCTCACGCCTGTAATCCTAGCTACTAAGGAGACTGAGATCTGAGCATCAGGCAGGAAAGTCCAGTCCACAAGCCTCTTATCTCAAATTAAACTGAAATGCAGACCCGCAGTGCTTGTGAAACCTCGTGTGTGCACCCTGGCTGAAGTACAACTCTGCTGGGGCCGTCCTAACCCTTTTTAGGCAGCCTTTTTCTGGATGACTTAAGACAGAAAAAAGCCCTCAAGAACGAAATGGGCTGGAAGTGTGGCTTAAGGGTAGAAGGCTTGAGTTCAAACCCCAGGCCCTCCCCTTCCCCTCCCCAAGGAGCAGTATGGAAACATCTGGGCCTGCCTCATTACTAGTCTCAAAACAAGACACAGTGTTCAGATGCAAAGTAAGAGTTGTTCACAAAGCTTCATCTTGCTTTATCACTGGTCTGTTCTGCAGAGTAAGAGGGGCTGGCTCCCCACAGAACTAGCACAGCTTAGGGAACAAGTCAACTCAGGAGGTGACAGGATGGAAGAAGAGCTTCTCCTGAGGGACCAATTACCAAGGGAGTAAAGAAATAAGATTTTCCAAACTACAGGAGCTCATTTGGAGTTTATCATAAGAATCTGAAAAAAAAGAACTGGGAAACTACACTACATAGGGTCAAAGGTCAATTGATTTTTTTTCACACATATAAATTATCTATTTAAAAATAAAGTTAAGCCAGGTGCCAGTGACTCACACCTGTAATCCTAGCTACTCAGGAGGCTGAGCTCTGAGGATCACAGTTCAAAGCCAGCCCAGGCAGTTATGTCTATGAGACTCTTATCTCCAATAAACCACCTGAAAACCAGAAGTGGCACTGTGGCTTAAGCGATACTTGCCTTGAACTGAAGAGCACAGGGACAGCACCCAGGCCCAGAGTTCAAGCCCCATGACGGACCAAAAAATAAAGTTAATATTCTTTAAAAGTTTCTTGTATGTACCAAACTAGTTTAAACAAATGTTATCTTGGATTTATGTCGAAAGCAACTGGTAAAAGCCCAGTGATGGTGGTTCACACCCAAAATCCTAGCTACTCAGGAGGTTGAGATCTGAGGATCCAGGTTTGAACCCAGCCCAGGCAGGAAAGTCAGTGAGACTCTTATCTCCAATTAAGTGGTACTATAGCTTAAGTGGTAGAGTGCTAACCCTGAGTTTTAAAAAAAGATCAGCTTGTGAAAAATACTGATTTCCAGCCTCTCCTTTAGTGCACCTGACTTAGTTATTTTGGAATAAACCACCTGCTCCTATCATGAGGTGGTCCTACAGGCAGTGGCTCTCAGCTCTGATCACACACTGAACTCATTCAGCAAGTCAAACAGGCATGTATACTTAAAAACAAAATGACAAGGCTGGGATAGTGCCACACACCTGTAATCTCAGCTAATTAAGAGGGTATTACAAGTCTAGGACTAGCCCGTTGCAGAGTTAATGAGATCCTACCTCAAAAATAAAAAATAAAGTGGCCAAAAGCATGGATTAAGTGGTAGAGCACTTGCAAAGCCCTGAGCTCAATGCCCGATGCCCCCACCAGGCACAAAAAGCTTACTAATTATTACTTCAAAAATCATTTAAATTGGACACACATCGTGTGTCTCTGTACTACTGCTCCCGTGGAAACATACTGGACAGGCCAGTGTCCTGTGGATACACTGGACAGGCCAGTGCCCCTGTAGATACATGCTGGACAGGCCAGTGCCCTGTGGATACACTGGACAGGCCAGTGCCCTGATGGATACATGCTGGACAGGCCAGTGTCCTGTGGATACATGCTGGACAGGCCAGTGTCCTGTGGATACATGCTGGACAGGCCAGTGCCCTGTGGATACACTGGACAGGCCAGTGCCCTGTGGATACACTGGACAGGCCAGTGTCCTGTGGATACACTGGACAGGCCAGTGTCCTGTGGATACATGCTGGACAGGCCAGTGTCCTGTGGATACATGCTGGACAGGCCAGTGCCCTGTGGATACACTGGACAGGCCAGTGCCCTGTGGATACATGCTGGACAGGCCAGTGTCCTGTGGATACACTGGACAGGCCAGTGCCCTGTGGATACATGCTGGACAGGCCAGTGTCCTGTGGATACATGCTGGACAGGCCAGTGCCCCTGTGGATACATGCTGGACAGGCCAGTGCCCTGTGGATACATGCTGGACAGGCCAGTGTCCTGTGGATACATGCTGGACAGGCCAGTGCCCTGTGGATACATGCTGGACAGGCCAGTGCCCCTGTGGATACATGCTGGACAGGCCAGTGCCCCTGTGGATACACTGGACAGGCCAGTGCCCCTGTGGATACAATGGATAGGCCAGTGCCCCTGTGGATACATGCTGGACAGGCCAGTGCCCCCGTGGATACATGCTGGACAGGCCAGTGCCCCGTGGATACATGCTGGACAGGCCAGTGCCCTGTGGATACACTGGACAGGCCAGTGCCCTGTGGATACACTGGACAGGCCAGTGCCCCTGTGGATACATGCTGGACAGGTGCCTGCCCCTGTGGATATACCGGACAGGCAGTTGTCCCGTGGATCTACACTGGAGCCCAGTGTGTGTTAGAACAGATGTATCAGGTTCCCTCAGTGAAGATACCCGGAGCTCTCGGAAAGTGGAAGTTGCTGGAAGGCAGCAACTCTACTCTACCATGGCTCCTCGGAGCTAGGCACCTGGGGAAAGATGGTTTTCCTGGCATATATTCAGGGCCCATCTTTTGGCCAAAAAAGAAACTGACTTTTTTTTTCCTGATTAAAGTAGCAGATGTCAAGCTTCTAACTTACTAAGTCCTAATCCCATGCTATGGTCAGACAAAGCCAATAAGGACTCCACACATGGAAAAGGCATTCAGAAACAGTGGCAACCCCCTGCACCAGCCAATCAGCCATTGTGCTATAGCATAAGCCTCACTTCATAAAGGCCAGGAATCAGAAGTGCAAAATAACACATAGCTTGTCTAGCTGCCGCTGCTAATAAAAGACAATGCAGGAGATTAAATTTAGGTCTGGTTGTTATAGATCCATGTTCCTGACCAGTGTGCCACATGAACTGTCCAGGCCCCTAGGCAAATAGGTAGTGAAGAAAGGAGAAATCAGTATTCAAAACACCCAGATTCCCATAACACTCACAATTCCCACTTGACGGCTCACTTTAAGGTCAGAAAGAAAAATAATGAGCAACAGTGGATGAAACTGGAGGCATGGCTCAGCAGTAGAGTGCCTACTTAGCAAACAAGGTTTCTGAGTTCACATCCCAGTACTGCCACAAAAAAATAAAATCACCTCACAACCAAAAGACCACTATGCAAATACTTCTATTTTTAGCAAGGAAAACAAAAATAAGATATACTCTATACATCAGCTGGCCTTTTGTTTCACCCTTAGTTCAAAAGGCACCTAAGTATATACACAATGCAATTCAGAAGCTCTGTATATCCACAAAAGGAAGATAAAGAAGCTGGGTGCAGTGGACCAAGCCAGTAATCCTAGCTACATGGAAGGAGATTAGGGGATTGCAGTTTGAGGCCAACCCAGCATAAAAGTTTCTTGAGAGCCCATCAAATGATGTGTGACACAGTAAGGCACCCGTTAGTCCAGCTCAGAGTCTGGGTACAGAAATGTGTGTCTGTCACCCCCAAAAAACAGGGTGAACAGAGTAAGAGGATCACAGCCCAGGACGGCCCCAAGATAAAGCAAGACCTTACCTCTAAAATAACCAACCAAAAAAAAGGTTGTAGACTGTCGGCCTAGCAAGTGCAAGGCCTAGCGTTCCATCTCCAGTAAACTCCCCACCCTCAAAAGGAAAAAAATATAAAGAAATTTATTAGCAAAGCAGGGAGAAGAAAGCCTATAGTATTAAACTTCTCTGCATTCAATGAGTGCCTGTGTATGCAGAATAAAAACAATGCAAGGAGCTTACACAAAGAATGCAAAAACAGGGAAAAAAAAAAGAAGTGTTGACATTTAAAACTGAAGTTTTCTCAAATTCCCCACCAAACAAAATCAACCCAATTCCACTTACCTGTTTCAGCCAAGTAGTTGTTTGTTTATAATTCAGAAGAACAGAAGGCTTTTTTTGGGGGGGAGGGGGCGCCCTGGTCATGGGGCCTGAACTCTGGGCCTGGGTGCTGTCCTTCAGCTCTTCAGCTCAAGGCTAGCACTCTACCACTTGAGCCACAGCACCACTTCCGGCTTTTTTCTTTTTGCTTATATGGTGCTGAGGAATCGAACCCAGGGCCTCAGGCATGCAAGGCAAGCGCTCTACCACTGAGCCACCTTCCCAGCCCAACAGACGGCTTTTTGAACAGTAAATTCTTAGAAAAAAATTGAGATTCTGGTCAGGCACAGTGGCTCATGTACATAATCCTACCTACTTTCACAAGATTCATGGTATAAGGCCAGTCTGGGCAAAAGGTTAGTAGGACCACATACATCTCAACAAAAAAGCTGGGCATGGTTGTAAAGGCTTGTGATCCCAGCTACCCCGGAGGCCTTAAGTAGGAGGTTTGTAGTTCTAGCTGGCCTGTTCAAAAAGACCCTACTTGAAACACAACTAAAGCAAAAAATAGGGCATGGCTCAAAATGGTAAAGCACCTGTCCAACAAGTATGAGACCCGAATTCAAATCCAGCACTTCAAAAAGAAAAACAGAGATTTTATGTTAGAAAGTACAGTGATCATATTCTATACCATGATGCAATCATGAGCCTGTCACTGGCACTTGAAAAATAAACTGTTCAGTACAAGGAATGCTGCCCTGGAGAAGAGAGAGCCACTAATTTCTTAAGCTATCTATGCTATCCTAGGAAACAAATTAAAATTATTTTTTCTAAGGTTTTTATTTTTTTATTTTTATTTTTGTCGGTCGTGGGGCTTGAACTCTGGGCCTGGGCGCTGTCCCTCAGCTCTTCAGCTCAAGGCGAGCGCTCTA